TTTCCTATCTCAAATCTTATGTACAAAACCAGGTCAAGATCTACTCGTATATTAAGTATGTTGTTTTAGTGGCGCAATGTGGCGAAAGGGAACTACGTTGTTTATGCACACATATTGCGGCATGACTGCATGCTCGTTTGCGATGGTTTGGCTGTATCTCCTATTGGATGTAAGCTGTGTGCTCATACTATGCTGAATTTCACTCTTAATTCTGATCGAGCGAGTTTATCCTGGCGAAGCCTGCGTCGAATGCGTGATTCTAGCAATTCAATTTTATTTGTATTGGGCTGTAAGTTGAGAATTGTGTGGTAAATGACCAAATTAGTCTTGCATAGAGTTTTTCAGCTATTGTTCTTATGTTAGCTTTTTGTGGAGTTATCTACGTGTTTATTCTGCGGAGGAGGGTGCAGCACGCACCTGTGAGAGTCCAGGAGATAGAACTACCTTCAAAGCCAACTGTTCTTCTCTTAACTGCAGACGACTGTGATGAGCATACTGCTGTTGTGGTCTTGTTGGGTCGTTTTCTTGAGCGTCATGCTGGAGTTACTGTACTTTTAGATTATCGCGAAATGGAAAATGCTGGTATGCCCACGTTTGGTCACATCCTACTTTTTCATTTTTCATCTTTTTCAGTTGCGGTTCCTTCGCGATGGCTTGTTGATTCTATTTGCCGTGCTTCACGCGTGTTGATTATCGTTTCGCCGTGTTCTCAGTTTGTACTAAATGGTCAAAACTTGCTGCAGCGGCGGCCATTCCCTGATCTTTTCGGGCCTGCAATGGATATGATCATAAGAGTAAGTAATAATCATTTCTTATGTCGGGATAGTTGCTTACATAAATGCCTCCAGGAATGTACAAGAAATTCCGCTACCAATAAATACATCATATGCCGTCTTCCTTATTCACCACCTACTCCCACTCAACTTGTCCTTTTGGGGTTTTCTCAAGTGGAAGGTACGATTTCAAAAGCTTTTTTCCATAATCAGTGGTATGCTTCAGAAGATTATTCGTAATTAAATGTTGCTTCATTTTTGCAAAACTGCCAGAAGTCTTACACATCATTTGATTGTTCATTGCTCTAGAGCATAATTTTTATTTTGCAGTACGTATTCTGACCATGTTTAGTGCCATCGGATCTTGCTCGCCTCACTGCTTTAATTCATTCGATAGACATGTACGAACTCAATGATGCGAGTACTTCCTCATTAGATGAGCTTGCGAATGCTGTCGAGTCAATGAAGAAAATGATGGAGGCCGATTCAACGTGGATTAATCGTCGACTTGCAGATGAGGTTATTGTTCACTCTCTTTCTTACCGTTTCAAATAACTCACTAGAAGCTGGAAGATTTGCCTCGATCCAAATGTGTTGTTTTTAAAGATTTGCATTCCAACTCACGAAGAGTTACGTTATAGCTCACCTTTTCTATAATTTTCGAAGTATGAGACTTTTAAATCAATGCACCACTCAACATCCTCCATTGTCCTCAGTTTCCATCTAACCTTTCAAGAATACTGTGTCCGATGTTGCTGATGACTTTGTGGAAGTTACTGAGAAGAAGACATTGCTGAAAACTGCTGAGGAAAGACGGCAAGCAGCCGATCAGTTTGGATTATTGCCTCCGGAAGAAAACGAGGTGGAAAGACTTGATATTGTTATAGTTGACGTTGTTGCATGTTACAGGCGGGGACTGGCGAACCTTCGGAGTTCGCATTGTTACCACCAGATTCTTCAGATGACGATTAATTCTCTGTCATCACATGCGATTGATCGACAACTGCTGTTCGCATTAAAGTTATGATTGCTAAATTAAAATAGGTGTTACTAGGTTTTCCAAAAGCATGGTGC